CCCCCCCCCCCCCCCCCGGGATAATTCATGTATGCTTGTTGTTACACATATGAAGAACATCTCCACAAACCAACACGAAATTTCTCAAATCGAGATTTTAGCTAGCATCTGTAACACAGGAAGACCACAAGTTTAGTGTTGCTGCTCACCTGATGGCTCACAAATAATATATAATACATACAATATAGAGACAGGTGACATTTGACAGTTGCCAACTTAGCACTGATAAACTTGTGGCCCTCCACGTTAACATCTCTATGTGAGACAGGATTGCCATTTCACATGGTCATCCGAGCCACTGTGAAGGTCTAACCATTTGCATTAAAAAGGATTTAGAGTAAAAGCAGCAACTTTTGCTCAAATATTTTAAGACTTTGATTGTAAGTCCAGCTTCTGAGGCTTGAACCATGACCTCCTGGGGTTCAAGTCTATGCAAGTCATACAAAGTATAATACTGAAATCAAGTTGTCTCTTTGTCCAGGCGTTGAAGAATTTAGTAATCCTGTCCAAGGAAGAAGCTGGTGCACAAAAGATCTTTCAAGGAGGTAAACAAAATGTTATAATCGGTGGATTTAGAGGGAGGGTTAATGGGGTCCTGGTGCCTCCTTTAAGTTAGCTTTCAAGTAGGTAAAGTTTTATTATGAGAGGTTGTAAAACGCACTCTACTCACCTCTGAGGTCCAGCGTTCAAATCCTAGTCACCCCATGTGAGCTGAACTGGTTGGTTCTGTTTGTGACTCTGAGGGTTTTTTCAGCCCTCCAGTTTTTCCTCCCTCCTCTTAAATCAACCCGGACTAATTCAAACTGGTTAGAGCTGTGCTCCAGGATCAAACATGGACTGTATAGTGGCTGCTAGAGGTGCCTTCACATGCTTTCAGTTCAACCCTGTTGAGCTGTGCCACTGCTGTACTTTGTGGTGGTGATTAGAAATGACAAGTTTTAGAGGGGGAGGTAATGGGGTTATAGTCCCCCCATTTAGTTATCTTTCAAGGAGGTAAACAAAATTATATACAATACAATACAAGTATACAATTATACAAAATTATATCATGGGTTGATCTAGAGGGAGCCCCCCCCCCCCTAGTTTGGGATTTGGATTCAGGATGCTTTTTTTACTCTTTTTTGTCCAAAATATCCCCAATATGCAAGAAACCTCCTCTGGTTTCATTTTGCATACAGTAGTCAATGATGAGATTGTCTAACTTAGATTTTCCCAATCCCTTCCCCTATCACAATCAGCAAATTTTGTGCTTTTTCAAGCAATACAAATGAGCTGATGTTGTTGGCTAGCATTTGACGTTTTATTATATGTCCAGGAGAGGGAGTCAAGCAGATTATCAGCTTATTGAATACCAACTCAGAAGAACAGATTGTGGCTGGATTATTAGTGTTGAAGGGACTTTGTACAAAGTCTTCCTCAAGGGTAGGTCATTGATATATATTAATTATTAGTCTTATGCTGTGACTTTTTAACCACACCATCTCTTGATAACAGGTCAGAAGAAGTATTTTCATTTGTTTATTGAAGTCATTTTGGTTTTTTGTCAGGCCTCTGCCGTATTACATCAAGTGACCATGGAAAAATGTTCTGCATTTTTGGAGTCAGTAAGTTTGATGTTCCCTTGTTACCTTCTTAACAACATCATAGGAGTATGGTTGCATTTGGACTCCAGTTAACTAACTAAAGCTAGTTTAAGCTTCATCAAAGTATTCATAACAAATCATTGGATTTGTTTTAGCCATCGGCAGATGTATGTAAAGCAACTGTTGCTGTTCTACATGCAGCACTAGATTCACTCTCAGACATGCCTACCTTGACTGATGATTTAAAGCAATGGTATAACACCAAAGGATACAGCCCTCCACTGCCCTTTAAACTAGGTACCACCATGTATTATTGTTATATATTATATTGATCAGTAGAACCAAGCTACATTACAGACTGTTACTCATCTTTTATTCTGTTTGGTTTGTTTTACCAGTGAATGAAGATGAAAATAAGGCCATTGTCAGTCATTTGTTGCTGGCAATCAGAAATGAAAAGTAAGTTTATAAGAATATAAGTTTTTTTTAATAAGTGATAATGATCAATGTAATTTTAAGTTACCTAGCTGTGGATATTAAAAAACAATCTTAAAGCTGCTATCTTGACATGTGGTGTCGAAAGTGGTCTCCAAATGGAGGCGTGGATTTGAAGGCTGTTTTATCATAGCCACAGGTACCCCAATATCACAATTAGGCTGAAACTACCCAATATTACATCCATCAATGTACAATTTTATTTATCTTAACCACAGGGTGACAGCAGTTTGTCGTGATGAATGTATTGATGCCTTCGTTAAAACCTTTCCAAAGAACAAACTGCTAGTTTTGATGTTTATGGAGATGAAAGGTTGGTTTGCAGTGATCAATTTTATGTCATCATTGTTATGCTAGTTACCATATATTGTTATTATAATGTACTGTAGTCCTGAAAGGTGTTCCCTGTCAATCAGGAATAGCATGTCAGTTGAATAGCATATGTTGTCTGGTTTTCTAGGGCTAGCACTTGTGTTGGAGGTTGCTGCTATGGCAGCCCCTCTTCTATCAGAAGATAAGAGAACCCTTCAAGTGTCTGAAAACACCAGAATGCACATTTCAGTCTTGTTAGCCTCTACCTGGGACTCATTAGGGTTAGTACAATATTGTCCAATGACAGATCA